TACCTATGCCACAAACATCAAGAAACGGGACACATACTGCGAAGGATCTAGAGCCAAGTCGTGGATGCAACCCACGGTGAACGCTGACATGGACTATATTGAGGCCGCATATAGTTAGCCCTCGACCGTAACTGGAATAGTGATCTGCAGCCGTTCATCAAAAGGAATGCGGCTTGACGCCAGAGAAGGCTAAAATGAAGGAGGTGCGGGCCAGTCTGGCAGAGGGCTAGAAGCTATGATTAAGGACATAGTAACACAAGGGCGGCCCTTGCATCTTGGCGAATATCCCCGCTGGACGCCATACTACTCAGGTTCACTAGCTAGGAACACTTGAAAGGAGCATAGTGAGGCTGGTTGCTACAACTTCAGATGAATGGATGGAGCCGTAGTATATAGCAAAGTCGTCATGAGGAGGGCATGGCGCAAGGCGTACAATGACAGGCGAGGTGCATGCACGTAAGAAGCTCAGTCCGTGCGCGGCGGGAGAGTGGGGCGGCACCTAGCGCGATTGCGGCCTTAGCTGCCGCTGTGAAGGAAGATAGGACGACTTGAACATGCTCGTCCAGTCAATCTTCAGCGCCTCCTGCACGCCACACACCTACTCACATCCCTCACTCAAGATCCACTTGCCCAGATATCTCAACATGTTGCCCCCTCCATCCCTCATGGTCCTGGCCCCCACCAGCCTGCTTCTACGTTCGCCATTTCTTCGTTATTGCTTTTCCCCCAATGGGAACCCTGTAATTAGTCGCCACCCAACCCACACCCTTTGTTCGATGCCGCCACGTCGAGTGGTATTTCGATGTCTTCAAATGCGCTAGGCAAGCATATCATGTCCTTTTGGTGCTGTGCCTCGACCCCGCGTCGAGCACAGATACCAGCCTTGCTGCAGAAGCAGATGGACTTGATGTGCCTGCAACAGCCAGACGAACCCATGATTAACCGCCCCAAGCAGCGGTCATTTGAAATCAGATGCTAATCCCTGTTGAGGGGTCAGAACCGACAGTCAGCAGCTTCCTATGTCATCGCCGTCCATTAAGCCGTGTATGAGGCTTTTCATGGCTGGGTCAGACGGCTGACACTTTGTTGGCATGCCTTGCCCGTGCTACCTTTTCTAGGTTGAGAGCCTTCGTTATCTGCTCCATATACCCACTCTGTAAATGATACTATAATGCGACACTCAGCAATGCATTCCAAAAAACGCGACGATCCGCTCCCACTGCCACCACGCCCATACGTTCTAAGTGATAGTGGAGTATTCGACGGCAACGACGGAAAATGGTCATCATTCCTTCTCAATATTGGAGATGATGGCTCTGGGAGAGGCCAGAACTTTAGGGTTCTTATTTCTACTTCATCTCCGGTTGTCGTGGTTCCTGGACAAACTGAATGGTGTGATGACGATGAGTGCGCTAAGAAGCGCGGGCTTGAGCTTTACGACGGAAAACAGCCTCTCGGGTTACAGGAATCGGCGCAGTGGCAAGCCTCCGAGATTTACAACGTACCTCGGCCGAATTGGTGGAGTGATTCCTATAGAATTGATCAGAGCGACTTGAATGGTCTATGGGGAGTTGATAATGTGGGTTTGGGGGCAAGCTCGCCTGAAAGTCTCATACTAGCCGAACAGTATGTTGTCAGGACTTTGGTGAAGGATTTCTACATGGGCTCTTTTGGACTCGCTGTGGGAGCTGTTGGCCCACCTGGCGGAGACAAACCAAATTTCCTGGACAATTTCGAAGCTGCGAAAAAGATCGCGAGTCGTTCATATGGATACACCGCTGGTGCATACTATCGTGAGTGATCCATTCTTCCATTTTCAGTCACAACAGGATATTGCTTTGCGTTTACTTGGGCTATATGTCATATGCTGCTTAATGACTGACGCGTTGAGATGGGCTAAAGAAGCATAGGAAATAACAATAATGGAATCCCAGGAAGCCTAGTCCTAGGCGGGTACGATGAATCACGGTTCACTCAGAAAGGTACATCCATACGCATGCCGAATGACAGGAACAACGATCTTGTTGTTGGAGTACAGTCTATTCTTTACTCAATGGATCAAGACGTTGAAACAAACACAGTAAGATTGACACCAAGTGGAGGATTCTCTGCTACGATAGATTCTACACTACCTTATCTTATCTTACCGGATGAAGTTTGCGACGAGTTTGTATCCAAATTTCGTCTAGAGTTCGATGGAAATAGTCAGTTGTTTCTTGTCAACTCTACTTCTCACCAGGCCAACCAGCGCGAGAATGCTACCGTTTCCTTCAAAATCGGGGCGAGCCCTTCCGACAGCGACATCTTCACATCCATTGTCTTACCATATGTAGCGTTTGTCCAACAGGCTAGCTTTCCTCTACCCGTTGCCAATGATAGCACCCAGTATTTCCCGATCAAAAAATCCGGGAACGGCAAGTTTGTGCTGGGCCGCACATTTTTGCAAGAAGCGTACATCATCGTCGACTACGAAAGGGCCAATTTCACAGTCGCGCGAGCATTATTTGCTGACCCTATGCCTACCCAGAGTCTTGTCACCATATTCAACGAGTCATACACTGGACTACCTTCTTCCGGAAAAGATGATTCTGAAGGGGGACTACCTACTGGCGCAATCGCGGGAATCGTTGTGGGAATTGTTATATTTTTCGCTCTCGTTGCTATTGGTGTCTTCCTTTGGTGGAGGAAACGCCGAAATCAGAAGAACGATAAACTTGAAAGTGAAAGGCCCTTGGAGATAGACACAACTCATGCTGGCACGGAAGTCAAGTACCGACGCGTTTCAGAGCTTACTGGATCTGAAGGTCCGCAATCACCAAGAGGCTCGTCGCTGGGTTACTACAGTCCAGATCACAAGTCCATACCCCCAATTAGCGAGATGTCGCCAGATAGCCCTCCCTCCGAGCTTTACAGTCCTCCCCCTGAAGGCCACGACGGTGTCGATTATTTTGCTTCAGCCGAGGCAAGACGGCAGGGGGCAATGCGAGATCGCCGCTCTCCAGGCATGAGCACACCACAAACACCTACTATTGCCGAACTTCCTGGAGAAGGCATTACATACGAGACTTCTGCGGATGAATCGAAGCCGACACAAAGACCTCTACATAATCGCAGTCCGAGTGACAGCTCACTTGGTACAAACATCGATGCAGTGCTAGCGAATGATCGAATGGCCAGCCCAAGGAATGAATCGGATGTTGATGACGCGGCAGTGGAGCCTCGTTCATCGGAAACTATTGAGGAAGAAGCTGGCGCAAAACCGGGGCCGTCAGATGCAGAACATGATCCTACCGAGCAATCAACCGTTGAAAGGCGACCATCGCATTCGAGAGGGTTGAGTGACACTACAGTTAAAAGTGAAAGCACAGCAGTGTCGCAGCCAACACAAGAAGAACTGGAGCGTTGGGCGAGGACTGGAGAGGACGCACAACGACCAATGTCTCCATAATGTACAGCGATCTAAATGCCACTTCGATGCGCTTTGAGAATTTTGCAAGCAGTTTTCCTTTCGCATTTTCTTCACTCCGAACACTTGTGCAAATCAAGATACCCACTTGTACATTCTTTACATCCATAACACACTCCTCTATTTCCTTCGCAGATGCAGCACCACAATACTCTATTTATGTAAACATAATTCCCTCTAATCCTCCCGACGCAGCAAGCAAACTTTCACGAACACGTTACACGTCCTACTCCACTGTAAGCCAACCCCGAACCCCCCGAACCACAGCTTCACCGCGTCCCTTCCCCCCACCCCAGCCCGCCCAAAAATCCCCTCTGTTCCCCTCCTCGTACCACACCGCACGCGCACCACACCCACCTTCCCCATCTACACCGCCACAACCAACGGCTGACCACCCCCTCCCTCCCCCAACACCACCGCCGCCGCACCCAGCAACAAAAAGCCGCATACGGTCTAGTCTCCCTCCAGCCTCTCACGCATACCGCTGGCATCTCTTTGTTCGCAACCCCCCCTCATTCTTTGTTTACCGGTCCGGCAATAAACTAGAACCACGGTTTTGCATTGGACTGTATTGGACTGGACTGGGGGATCATTTAGCCTCGCAGGTTGTTGTTCCGGCCCCATAACCACGTTGGATTTCCTCTTTTCTTGGAATCGGTCTTGTACATTTGCACAAGGTGTGCATAGTAGTGTCAAACTTGTTGTCATGACCTGACAAGAAAAACTGGGATTGTTGCACAGGTAAGCCAGGGAAGGAAGGGGGGATTCTTTTTTCCCTTTTCAATAGAGATGAATTATTCAAGCACACGACAGTGCAGCACCAGTTCCCATGCCGACATGCCTAAAACAAAGCCCCGAGGCGTATTCTACCGTGTTCATGCGTTAAATGGCTCCGCGGAGCACAAACATCCGCCAAGTCTAGGCTTTGAACCAGTCACCCAGTCTTTGCATGCATGAGAGTTAAGAATTGGGGGCGGTTGTGCGGCGTATCGGGTAAGGCGAAAGGTGGGGCGAGTCGACAATATACTCCGAGGGGGCGAGAGCGAAGCGATCCCAGTCTAGACGACGCGAACTTTGTAAGCAGCGGGTATGAAGATCAAACGCCCCTTCTAGGTAATGTATGCGTATTCACTTCGAAAAAAAGAAAACCAATAATGCACGAGCAGAGTTTCAAGTGCAGGAGTGTTTTTGTTGCAAGGGAAAACAATATTGGTATTTTGCGGGCTGGATATCACGCCACAATGACATCTCTGGTCGTGGCATTTGATTACTGCTCTATATTCAGCCTGATTAATGGATTAACCGGCGTACATAAATATGCACACTCAACGAAGTCAACCGCCAACATAGCGAGAAATGCCCCGAAATTTTGGTGCCGTTGAAGGGTCGCTGTAGGACCATGGCACAGTTTTGCGCATGTGATGATTTTGCGCCGGGCACTCATTCGATACAGCTCAATTCCAGGGTTTCTGGCTCAACATGGCGGGTCTGGCTATAGATAGCGTGGTGTTATAGTGGCATGTCGCATGCACACTCAATCCTCGGAGTCTGCAGTACTACTACCCATATGTACCTTGGATGCTTTGTCTTGCTCCGCTAAAGTTACCATGAACTTGTGTCCAGAAGATGAATGGTCCGGCATCTCAGTGGGTACAGATTGTCCAGGGTGTGTTTGTCGATAAGCCACGTCAGGTGCGCGTCGCTGAGGATAAAGTACCCCTTCTATTGTTGTTGCAGTATTATTTTGACGCCGCATCAGGTTTGTGAAGAGATCGAATGTCGAGTTCGAGTTGAGAAACGATAGTGGCCATTGGATGGCAGGAAGCCAGCTGTGATCAATGGATTCGTGGCATGCCTTTAGTACTCGCTGGCCCCAATTTTTCATGAACCAGTATCGTGGTTCCGCAGCTAGAAGAACAGTGGCATAGTGCATGAGAATGACTAGCGCACCTGGCCGTCGTTGCTGCAAAAGGTTTGTGAAATCCACATGGCTATGCAATGGCCAGGAGAACAAGAAACGTAGCTCTCGGTTGTCAACCTTGGGAGGTAGCGAGATACTTAAAGCAGGATCGAAGTGTGCCACTGTGGCCAAGTAAATCGCCCTTTCACTCTCAGGGAGATCATGTTTGTCCCGGATGAAACCGGCTAGTGGAGGGGTTTGGTGTAATAGCTCCATCAGGAGTGGTTGCGAAGGGGTCACCTCAGATGGGTCTCTGACCAAGGGAGCAAGAAATGAGTCAACAATGGCGGCTTGTGCAAGTGCCAGGATATTACCCATACCCCGCATGAGGTAAAAGCAGTTGAGGAGACCTTCAATAGCACACGGTGGTGTATCGTTCATATTGTGCTCAGCCTCGAAGCCTAACGAGGCAAATACACTTAGGGTGAGTAAGGTAGATGTGGCTACGATAGTTGCAGCTTCTTGAGGGGTTGTGGTGGCGATGTTTTTTCGCAGTCCCCTTATGGCACAGTCCTGGTGGTGTACTCCAAAAGTGTAATACTCTTGGCGTAGTTCTTGCTGCTGCTCTTTGTCGGCTTTGGAGAATGCAGCGAAAGCCAGCATTTCGTGCATCAAGTAGGGGTGTGAGATTGCATACTTTGGAGCTTCGACTCGCCACATGTAGCAAATATCGCTTCGATGTGTGAGCTCTTGGTGGGCTTCGGTGGTCCAAAAATGCCTGCAACGGGTGAGTCGACGTGTCTGGTTGGGTGAGGTCGACAGTTGGTCTTACAGGAGCTCCAGATCACGCAGCCAAAGGTCTGCTTGGGGGATTTCATTGCGGTGTATGAATCTTGATAGAAACGGATACTGGTCTGCCTGTGACTCTGGCGAGGAGCCTTCGGATATGGCTGAGGGCTGGCTGGGGTGAGAGTCTATGCGGGAGGGAGGCGTTGCAGACGCCGACGACGCCTGTTGACTGGTCAGCAACGATATCCAAGGGCATGGCGTCGACGTGCGGGTCGGATCGTACGGCTATGGGTCGCTCAGACGGTGACGACTGGTTGGTGCGTCGGGAAGTAGTTGCAGCGGAACCTGCCGCGAGGGAGGAGGCTTGGGGTGTGTTGGGATCCCAGGTAACAAGGCTACACGGGACGCCATGACGGGCACAGTTTGAGCACGGCTTGAGCTCGTCACACTGGAATCTATCTCAGCAATGATCTTCTTGGATCAGTCCACCATGCTCGGCCCAAGTTGGTCTGGCGTACCTTCACGTGGCGAGCCTTGCACTGTCGACAGCCCAGGCGTGATCTGTCATACACATTTTAGCGTAGTCCAGTGCCAATAATAGCCCCTGGTATGGCCAGGACGGTGAAACGGGATGAGGTTATTGGCGTGTGTGTGCGGGTGACGAATAGACGGGTGGGGGGTTAACAAGTACGGACTTCTTGTGCCCAAGGCGTGGCATTGGAGGAGAGCAGCACGGCCAGGGACCGGGGCGTTGGGCTGCGACAGTTGACCGCTCGCTCACGAGAGTGCAACGGACCTACTCTACTGGACGTGTCGTCAGACCGTTGATTGAGGCAAGAAAGCGAATGCGACGTGGAGGAACACGGGAGGTGCGGTCTTGGTGGAGCGTGGGATCTTTGCGCGCGCAGGGATAAGCACACACTATGCCCCTTACATCGCTTCATATGCACCCGAAAAGAACCTCGGCGAACAAGTGGAGCTCGCATTCGCATTCACGCCCTCGTCCTCCCTACATGGCGCTCCAGCTCGCCATCACCACTGGCCCGCCCATGTCCACCGCATCTCGGACACTTTCCACGTGCAGCGGCTCGTTCCATCGCATCTGGGGCCTTCTAATGACTTACATATGTATACAGGTCCTCTGCACATCGCCCCGCCCAGCACCATGCAGGAATGCTTGATGCCTCTCTACACCACACGCGCACACAGCGCCCAGCACCGTCACATGTTGCTAATCTAGACGACCGCTAGACCGACAGCTACCGCGGCCGCGTATGCTCCAGACCGTTTGGATTTGTGTTGGGCGGTCGAGAAAAAGCAAACTGTGCTCACAACGCACGCTACGCCCATGGCTCCCTGTATACTTGCAAGCCGCGAAACGAACTACCTCGAGCAAGAGACCGGCTGGCGTGCAATCAACACGACTAGCCTAGTAGAAGGCCTCATCATGATGCCACGTTATGTCAGGACGAACTGGCGAGAAAACGGTCCTCCACAGCTGGCTTGCCTCCATCATAGAACCGGCCTATCTTCCAAGCGACTCTATCCATTGGATCTAGTGGTTACCTCAGCCAAGGTAGTCTGATATACATATGACGGACTCTACACCAAATATGTGCCGATGAGAATGCTATGTACCAGGATATATTTGGGAGGGGGGATGGGGGGATAATGTTTTCCGGAAGCATCGGGAAAGACAAATATTTGTAATATTCCAACTAATCTCAGACGTTGACGTTGACAGATCTGACCATGGCGTATCATGGCGTTCTAGTGTGGCGTAGGAACTGTCACTAGTCTCCCGGCTCTGGCTTGCTTATCGTCGATCAATCTCGATTCATCCTCCGGTCTTGTTCGAGATGGCATGTCCCTTGTTCCCACGATAATGTCTTGTTGCGCAATTCAGAGAGGAAAATATGCTGAACGGCAAATTTGATTGCTGAAACGGTTCTCAACGCCATGTATCGGATTAGGAGGTATAGTTTGACCACAGCTGTGTCGGCCGTAAGGTAAATGGAATGAGTGCTTGGCAACGACAACGCCAATTCTTAATATAACCCCTAGTCTGCGTGGAAACCTTATCGCAAACGCGAAGGCGTCCGATGGGCGATGACGGTGACGTTACTCTGGACGTGTAGAAAATGCTCAGTGATCTATATCAGCTATTGCTAAACATTGCTACTGTGTGTAATATGTACCTACGGTACAGAGGTGGGCAAAGACCCCCGGTGTATTGCTAATGCTGTGAATTCATTTTACAAGACTCTCCTCAGAACAGTCAGCTCATGTCCTCGCAAATGGAAAGCGGCTAGAAGCCTTCGAGACTGCCGACTCCCGACTGCCAGCTGCCATGAAGCCAAGCCGAGAGGGGGTTCAAGGTACATGAATCGTTTAAGGTCCAACTCGGCTCCCGTATTGACAAACACTACGCGAGAGTGCAGTGGCGTGGGGGCTGGGCTTAACTGAAAGTGCATTATTTTAGCGTGTTGATAGCATAGGCACATGTCAAGCTCCAGCGTTGACAGGATGACAGGAGAGCGGTTTGGGCCTAGACTGCTGCCTATCGATAACGTACCTTTGCCTAGACCCGCCTGGGTCACATGCCTTCAACTCCATCCAACGACAAAAGATGCCTAGCTCACTAACAACGGTACACGGTTGTATAGTCGCGAAACTTAGTGCATCCATAAATGAACTTTGTTCATACTATTCGCTTACTTTAGCATGTAATATGACTACGGCCGCGACTGTACCTCGCCTTGGGTACTAACCATCTGCCAGGAATGCCAACAGTAGTAGACGCAATGGGAAGCCCGCCTCTTGTGAACCGTGCAGGCTGAACAAAACGAAATGCGATCACGGCCATCCTAAATGTGACAGATGCCGACAGCGTGGAATCGAAGACCGCTGTTTCTATCATCCAGCACCTCTAACCAGACCGCGTCCCGTGGCAGATGAGTCAGAAGCAGGCGCGTCTCGTCCTCCCAAGCGAAAGTACAGAAAGACTGCGACCGATATCCTCAAACAATGGCTAATCTTTATAGCCGTTCATCAAAGAAGAATAATGATCCCGCTGCTGTTTTCCTATCGCCTTCGTCCCATGGAGACAAGCTCGCTGATGCCGTTGCTGCTGATGTCTATCACCCAGGATTTCTCGGCCCTGGCTCTTATGCCGTGTTACTTGCTCAGGATGAAGAGCCAGGTCAATTACCTGAGCGTGAAGGATCTGTCGCATCAGAGAGATCAGATCGGGAGCTTACCCACCAGCACACGTTGTCCAAATCAATGAGATATCAGATGGCGCATGATGTGCTGAGTACTTTTCGCCATTACGACATAATAAAGGAGCTTGTACTTTGGTACAACGCGCGCAACGAGGCAGGTGTAATACCGGCACCAATAGAAGTTGACGCCGTCAATGCGCTGGAAGCTGTCGTTGACAAGCACGATCTCCGACGCAAAGAACCAAGCCCAGAGCTGATAGCCCAAGTTCTGGAAACCACTGCACGCCCTTTTACGATATCTCAATCGCTCGAACCCCGCGATCTTCACATACTATGCTCAGGCGAAAATCTTCGTTTCGAATACATCGGTTTCTTGCTTGCCACCGCTGGTCGCTCGCTGACGTTAGGTCTCGGACCAGAGTCATACAGCGATGCGAGTAACAAAGAAATGAGGTTGCGCTTTACCGACGAATTGCTTCGTGCAAGTACGACCTGTCTGTTTCTTACCACAATGCTTGCTACAGTCAATGACCTCACCATATGGATGTACTACGAGAACTATATGTTCACAGTCATGATGTGCGGATATGCTGGTAAGTAATATCTCGACACTCTTTTGAGCACGGCTAAAGGTCGTAAATCTAGGACCGCCTGCTTGGAGACGCATCGGGGAGTTGGCAACCCAGGTGTACGCGCTCGGCATCCATCAAGATAGAAAGTGCGCCCAAGCGCCAACTTGGTTGGCAGAAATTCGCCGTAGGCTCTTCTGCGCGGCTTACAACCAAGACAAATCCATTTCCACGTTCCTTGGTCGCCCTGTAAGAATTAGTAAGAGACATACTGATATTCACCTGCCGCTTGATCTAGCCGATGATGAAGTAACGGGCAATGAGGAGGTACTCAGCGCCGCCATACAAGCTTTAAGTCCCGATGGTTGGAATACCAAAGGCAGATGGCTTCGGGCATCATGGATTGTGAGTAATTCGGCTTCCCTCTACATCAACCAGGCTGATATGTTTCCAGCGTCTGCGCCAAATGTCCCTCGAGTTTCGCGAAGAAATACTGGAGTTTTCCTTTGTCAAAATTGATGCAAATGCGGAAGCTCAACTTTTGTACGCCTTCTTCAGTAATATTTTCCTGCTTCCACTAACACGTCTATAGGGATATATCTCAGCGCATAGGTACCTGTTGGGATATGCTGCCGAAGCACATGCGTTATTGGAAAACATGCTGGGACGACGATGTTCCCACCAAAATCTGCCTGATGTTGTGCATCGTTCATCTTACCCACTGGTATAACGAGTTCATGATCCAGAAATTGCTCGACTACAGCCCTTTGACTCTCAACGCGGCATTGCTGCGCGTTTCCATTGACTTACTATCCAACACTCTCACTTTGGGTACAATACGAGATCGGTCGTATGATATCCACCGCGACATGCTGCATTGCGTGCTGCTCTTTGGTATTCCAGCTGCCTCAGTACTAGCAACAGCCCTTCGCGAGCAACACCATACAGGTCAGCAGTTTCCGTCTGGAATCTCCCGATCAGAAATCGTCCGTATGCTTAGCGTGCTCATTTCGCATCTCGATGCTGCTGCGCACATGGCAAACTCTGGAGCTGGGCATGGCGAAGCAAACTACAATTTGTGTCGCAAAGCGAGTAAGATTTTCACAAAGATCATTGACACGGTGTTGGATCCAAAGGCTGTGGAAGAGATCATGCCAGCTAGTGATCAGGTAGGAATAGACCTTGGCTTGGATCTATTCTCTGGTGCTGGATTAGATGGTTTCGAGGGAATGGATTTTCCTGGGCTGGAGATTGGCCCTAGCACAAGTGGGGGCGTCAATGATGGTGCTAATGTGAATTGGGGAGCTCTTGGACAGTGGAATGCTTGGACCGGACCCGCGTAAAACACTTTGAGCGGTTTCCAAACTAATGTTACGATCTAGCCTATGTAATAACGCCTACAGCCGATAATTTTAATCTGAAAATTTCTTTACGCCTCAATTGAGAACAAAGTCTCATTCTAGTTTTCCAACGCGGTTGTTCTCTTGATCGTCGTGAAACGGAACCCGAAGCCAACAAGGAACGCTGCACCACTAAACGCGATGGTAACGATAATCGTGCCCCTAAAACCTGATATATATGCCCTGAGTACTCCTTCGACAAACTCAGTTGGGATTCTGCCTCTGATTTCGCTAGCGCCAGCTTCGAGGACCAAAGCAGGGTTTAGCCCGGCTGCAGTGACAGCCAAACGCTTAAGAAGAATGTTCTGGAACGCGGTCTGGGCAGCTGAAACACCAAAGGCGCCTCCCAATGTTTGGATGACTGTTCATGGGTTAGAAATAGAATTCAAGAGGTTGATAACAGAATTGGACTCACAAAGAAGCGTGGCTGTTGTCAGAGGTACGTCGGCTTCTTTGGTCGTGGCTTGGATGAGCATCACAGGGACTTGGAAACTGACACCAACACCCAATCCTGCAAGGATCTACAAAAGTGATATCAGCAAAGGAATTAAAACGAGCAAAAGGTAGTGTACGTACCTGATAGCCGATCCAAATTCGACTCGGAGAATCAATGTCAAAAGTGTAGATTAAGCCAGAGCCGATGGCTGTGACACCGGCACCAATGATCATCCATGGGAAAGCATACCCGGTTTTCGAAATGATTTGGCCGACAACGACGACACATAGTGCTGGCGGTATGGTTAGTGAGAATTTGAGGGGGATGGCTCGGCGCACTTACTGACTGCGAGAATGTACGGTACAGTGCGGACACCACTCGTTGATGCCGAAACACCTTGGACGGATTCTGTTGCTCGTCAGGAACAGGACCTATCATTTACAGCTTTCATAAGCAACGACTTACGGAAGTAAATTGGAATATAATAAAACGTCACTGAAAACGCTGCATTGATCCTGGTAAAGGTTAGCATCGAACTCACATCCCCTCAATCTTAGACCAAAACTTACAAGAAAGAGAAAGTCGACCCAACAGCAACTGTGCGCCTCTTAATGATACGGCTATGCACCATGGCATTCTCGCCTTGCCACCACTGCGCCACGATAAACAGCACGATGAAAATGGCAAAGCCCACAAGTGTCCCAATGACTTTGGAGTCGCCCCAGCTCTTTGTTGTGCCACCCCATTGCATAGCGAGAATGAAGCACACCACCGCACCGATGATGAGAACAACACCAATGATATCCAGCTGACGAAGCATGCCACGCCAGTCAGGGCGATTCTTCGGTGGCTCATTGACGAAGAAGAGGAGAATGAAAAGGCAGGATACGCCACCAACGGGAAGATTGATATAAAAGCTACAATCACACTTAGCCCACTTTCTCACATGCATAATC